AGCATAGGCACCACTGTGTCCACAAATGCAAGCTTTTACAGACGAATCTCCCGCTAGCATGGCCGTGACAAACTCTAGCTCAAGTCCCCTCAAAGCCGTCAACATGACTCATGAAATCGTAATGACACAATTGCAAACAAACTATACCACGGGCAGGATTTGAACCCGCGGCTAACACGACAATCTGGAGTTTTGAGACTCTCTGACCGCGGGTTCAAATCCCGCCCGTGGTATGGTTTGTTTGCAATCGTGTCATTACGATTTCGTGAGTCATGTTGATGGCTTTGAGGGGACTTGAGCTAGAGTTCGTCATGACCATACTAGCGGGAGATTCATCTGTAAAAACTTGCATTTGTGGACGCAGTAATGCCTATGCTAACCTTCCTATGGCATAGAAATACACCTAGTTGGACGAATCTAATTGAAGATAGCTGGTCCAGTGGCTAACGCGACAGTCTGGCGTTTTGAGACTCTCTGACCGCGGGTTCAAATCCCGCCCATGGTATGGTTTGTTTGCAATCGTATCATTACGATTTCGTGAGTCATGTTGACGGCTTTGAGGGAACTTGAGCTAGAGTTTGTCACGGCCATGCTAGCGGGAGATTCATCTGTAAAAAACTTGCATTTGTGGACACAGTGGTGCCTATTCTTTTTATTTATTTATTTATTTATTTATAATTTGAGCACACTTACAGAGGTACAAAAAAAATACAGATAAGAGCAGCATGCCAAAGCCACTTATACTATGCATAGCATTACGGGCTGGCTTAAAATTAACTTAAGATTAACTAAGCAATGATGAAATCAGTGAAAAACAATAATGTAAACTGATTACTATAAAGCACAAGTGAGTATTACAAAGACAGGTCATATGGTTGCATGCATTGTTGTAAATTCAGTAGAATGGAGTATTCTGTTAGGTAGTGAATTTAAAAAATAATAAAGTTAGATTGGGTTTTAGGTTTAACATTTATGTGATATAATTGTGAGAAACATTTAAGATATACAATTTATAAGGTTCAGTTATTCAGTATTTATTTGGTTTTGGGTGAGTAAGTGATCTTTGAGAAGAGACTTGAATTTATAAACAGGTAGTGTTTCTTTTATATTTACAGGTAATGAATTCCAGATTTTAGGGCCTTTTATGTGCATTGAGTTTTTGCATAGCGTGAGATGGACACGAGGAATATCAAAGAGTGATCTGTGCCTTGTGTTATGGTCATGTGTTCTGTTGAGGTTGGCAAGGAGATGTTTGAGGGGAGGGTTAATATCAGAGTTGAGTGTTCTATGTATGTAATAGGTGCAGTAATAAGTATGGATGTTTTGTATGGTGAGTAGGTTGAGTGTATTGAATATTGGTGGAGTGTGCTGCCTGTAGTGAGAATTTGTTATCATTCTAACTGCAGCCTTTTGTTGGGTAATTAGTGGTCTGAGATGGTTACTTGTTGTTGAGCCCCATGCACAAATTCCATAGGTGAGATAGGGGTAAATAAGAGAGTGATATAGGGCCAGGAGGGCTGACTGTGGAGCATAGTACCGTATCTTCGATAGTATGCCTACAGTCTTGGAAATTTTCTTAGAAATTTGTTGTATATGTGTATGAAATTTGAGTCTATTATCAAGGTGGATTCCTAAGAATTTTCCCTCTGTTAGCTTTGTGATAGGTGATCCGTTTATCATTATGTTAAGAGGGACATCTGTAGCTCTGTTACCAAACTGAATGAAGTAGGTTTTGTCAATGTTTAGTGTAAGTTTGTTAGTACTCATCCAGGTAGATATTTTCTGTAATTCGGTATTTACAGTATTGGCTAGCGTGACTGGGCTCGGGTGGGAGAAGACGTATGTTGTGTCATCAGCAAATAGTGTGGGTTTGAGTAATTGAGAAGCATTTGGTAGGTCATTTATGTATAGGAGAAAGAGAAGAGGGCCAAGGACACTTCCCTGTGGGACACCAACTGTAATTGGTTGTGCAGAAGAGTTTGCCCCATTTGCGTACACATATTGGCTTCTGTTGCTGAGGTATGACTTGAGGTAGTTGAGGGAGTGCCCTCTTATACCATAGTGTGATAATTTTACGTGGAGCAAGTCATGGTCAACTGTATCAAAAGCTTTACGTAAGTCAATGAAGATCCCCAGTGGGACTTCTTTTTTCTCTATTGCAGTGTATATATGTTCTAGCATGTGTATAATAGCATCATTAGTATTTTTATTAGGCCTGAATCCAAATTGGCAGGGGTTGAGTATGTTTTGGGAGATAAGGTAGGAGTAGATTCGTTTATGAATTAATTTTTCGAAGATTTTTGAGAGAGGGTGTAAGTTGGATATTGGCCTATAGTTATTCAACTCTGTTTGGTCTCCTCCTTTGTGGATCGGGGTGACCCTTGCTATTTTGAGTACTGTAGGGAAGGTGGAGGATTCAATGGATTTGTTAAAGAGTGTTGCAATGATTGGTGATATGGTGTAGAAATACACCTAGTTGGATGAATCTTATCGAATCTAGCTGGCTTAGTGGCTAACGCAACGGTCTGGAGTTTTGAGACTCTCTGACCGTGGGTTCAAATCCCACCCGTGGTATGGTTTGTTTGCAATCGTGTCATTCACTGCTACAGTACATTCATTTGTAGTTTTAATGTAGGGCAAGAGGTGAGTAGTATTTATTTGTAGGAAGTCAGTGTAGATAGCAGTAGATGTAGGTACAGTACACGTTGGTAGGCCCCCCCCAGCTACACTACACAGCTATATTACAATACACATCCATATTATTGCACTACACAGCCATATTATTACCATGTTCACTGAGTTTAATCGTTTCTAACAACTACCTTTAGATGCCATCATAAACAAAGGGAGAAGTAATGAATAGTTCATGCCAAGAATTGTAAACAAATGCATATGAAGGGCAGTTACTGCACCAGTCGCCAGATTCACAGTTTTCTCTAACGCTGCATCAGAGAAAACATAATGTTTACTCTCCATCCCACTCTCCACTCGATAACATATAAACATTGCATGTTTATATGCTATGTTTATATGCTACATGATAGTAATGTGTTTCTTATATAATTTTGAAGAAAATATCATAGATAGATTAATGAAAATGTCTAAATTAACGTAAAATAAGACATTTAATGTGGCAGAGAGTGATTATTAAATATACAGTGGACCCCCGCATAACGATCACCTCCGAATGCGACCAATTATGTAAGTGTATTTATGTAAGTGCGTTTGTACGTGTATGTTTGGGGGTCTGAAATGGACTAATCTACTTCACAATATTCCTTATGGGAACAAATTCGGTCAGTACTGGCACCTGAACATACTTCTGGAGTGAAAAAATATTGTTAACCGGGGGTCCACTGTACATCGCATATAATAAACATTACATGTTTATGTGCTATGTGACATGTTTCTTACATAATTTTGAAGAAGATATAATACATGGATTAATGAAAATGTCTATACAGTGGACCCCCGCATAACGATCACCTCCAAATGCGACCAATTATGTAAGTGTATTTATGTAAGTGCGTTTGTACGTGTATGTTTGGGGGTCTGAAATGGACTAATCTACTTCACAATATTCCTTATGGGAACAAATTCGGTCAGTACTGGCACCTGAACATACTTCTGGAGTGAAAAAATATCGTTAACCGGGGGTCCACTGTATTAATGTAAAATAAGACATTTAATGTACCAATGATTATTATATATACATCGCATATAAACATTGCATGTTTTCATATACTATGTAACATGTTTCTTTGGGCCCATGGTTGCTTATTTTGCAGTTGTACTCGATCAATAACCACAAAAAACAATGGATTATAGCAAAATGTTTGGATGAATGAGCAGAAGCTTCCTCACTCGCCCAGAGATAAAGCCAAACTGACTCGCAAGTGGCCCCAGCTGGTGGATGGATGCCTCCCAAATGACCGATAACCGAATTAATGACCGATAACCGGGCACTGAAAAACCGGCCGATAACTGAGTTGGCCGATAACCAGGGGGTCCACTGTACTGTAATATAGTTTTTATGGTTTTGTGTGTGTGTGTGTGTGTGTGGGAAGATATATTTTATTGTGCAGTATTTGTATTATTGTATATGGCTCTAAGGCAACTATGCCTGATAAAATACTGTTTTCAAGCGTATGCATAGATGTGTTGTAGTATATTTAATAAGATTAAATTATTAATATAATGCCAGTGCTTGTGTTTATTAATTATAAACATGTATTAATAGCATGCAAGGCATTTAAATGAGCAACTGTTGCATTTGAACTTTATACATATAGCAGCATTTTAATGATATTGCATAAAATTATATATCAATAAATTTCAAATCTGTGTATCAAAGTTGTTATGAGAAATACTAAAATGAATAAATAGCAGGAAGAGAAACAGAGATCAAATTCAGAAGATGAGGTGGGAATTATTTTTTTGTTCTCATGTAGCATTCTTCAGCATTAAAGGAGGTCAGGATTTATTTATACAAGATGGCAGAACTATATTTTCTGCAGAAACTACCTTGGATTCTTTTAGTATTATAATCCTTTGATAATTTGGTGTTCCAAGTAAAGAATAGGAGTTCAGTTAGATTAAACAAATTCTTTAGAAAATGTGTAATGCAGGTTGTAGTTGAAAAATTAGGCATCACGTGTGTTGACATGCATTCACTTAAAAGAACAGTGCGTACTGGCACAAAAGAACAATGCATACTGACACATATTTTCAAATGCTATTTAGTAATTGGCCTATGCTATATTATTAGAAGATAACACTGTACAATTTTTCTTTATAAGTATTATACCATACAAAGAGTTTAATGCTTTTACATGTATTATCTGCTTCTTAAATTTGCATGCAGCTGATTGGCCATGTAAGTGTACTGTAATAAAGTCACCTAAGTTAAAATAAAAGTGAGTAAATTAATTAATTTTTTTTAATTTTTGCTATCTTTCACATATTTAAGTTAATGATTTAATGTGTTTGTGTTGCTACAGCCTCCAGGACAGCCAATAATGCCTAACAGTATGGACCCAACACGTCAGGGTGAGTATTAAGCACTGTAAATGTCCATCATTTATTAAAACATTTCTTTATTATTGATGCTCATGACCCACCATTAAGATTATCAACCTTGTTATTGTTGAACCTGTGACAGACTGCTGTTTCTCTAAGATTCAGCACCTCCTCTCTCTGTCTCTGTCTCTCTCTCTGTCTGTCTCTCTCTCTCTCTCTCTCTCTCTCTCTCTCTCTGTCTGTCTGTCTGTCTGTCTGTCTCTCTCTCTCTCTCTCTCTCTCTCTCTCTCTCTCTCTCTCTCTCTCTCTCTCTCTCTCTCTCTCTCTCTCTCTCTCTCTCTCTTTCTTCTTTCTCTCTCTTTCTCTCTCCTCTCCCTCCCTCCCTCTCCCTCCCTCCCTCCCTCTCCCTCCCTCCCTCTCCCTCCCTCCCTCTCCCTCCCTCCCTCTCCCTCCCTCCCTCCCTCCCTCCCTCCCTCCTTCCCCTCCCTCCCTCCTCCTCCCTCCCTCCCTCCTTCCCTCCCTCCCTCCCTCCCTCCCTCCCTCCCTCCCTCCCTCCCTCCCTCCCTCCCTCCCCTCCCTCCCTCCCTCCCTCCCTCCTCCTCCCTCCTTCCCTCCTTCCCTCTTCCCTCCTCCCTCCCTCCCTCCCTCCTCCCTCCCTCCTCCCTCCCCTCCCTCCCCTCTCTCCCTCCCTCCCCTCTCTCTCTCTCTCTCTCTCTCTCTTTCTTTTCCTCTTTCTTGTTCCCTGTCTCCTTCCCTCCATCCCTCTGCATGATATTTAACATGCACGTGGTTACTGAATCATATGTTATTTGCTGGTTTTTTTTTTTTTGTATAGAAAGTGATGCTCTAACTGCTCCTGCCTCATCTAGAGAAGAGAGTGCTGTAGTTTATAGACAGTTTTTGCTATTTATATACTGTAAATACAGTGAAACAATGAATACAGTATAGAATAATATACAGCAAATATTAACTGGGATATGAATGCACATTATAGTAATTATCATTCAGTCAGAAATTACCGTAAGTATGGTACTGAATATTTTACACTATTTATGGTATTGTAAAAAAATATAGAAGTTCATAAATACTTCAATAAAATTGTACAGTATATAAATAAACAAACAAAACAAGGCAAAACAAACATATTATATTTTAAAATGTTCGTAATTGTTACAATTGCTGCATGTCTTCTTGATCTCAACTGTCAGGCAGTAGCTGTGTGATAATATTATTTTCTTATTTTATTAAATGCAACTGTATGATTTCAGTGTATGCCATTAGGGATTTATATTGTATGATGGTTTATCACTGTAGTTGTGTATTAATTTATTATAGACAATTAGTAGTTAAGGATGTAGCTATAGACTATGCTCATCTTTCAGCTTTCTGTACATAGTGAATACTTCCCTCAAAAAATATAGGGTCACAATTTCATAGCTGGAATAACTTACAACTAAATCTTGAGCTTTGAGAAGAAACCTTAAACAATATTTTGTTGTGTCCTGGACCCTTTATAAATTACAACTCTTATGCGCTGATAATGGTTCAACGCAGATTGAACCATCTTCCAAAAGTTGCTCTCCAAATTTTGAGTTATTCATGACGATTTCTTTCTGCTAATATGTCAAGCCTATATAATTGTGTTGGAAGGTTATTCCTATAGAGTTTAAACTCTTCCATGTTCTTCAGCCTTTACAGTTTAACTGCAAGAATCTGTGTGTGTGCTTGTATGTATAATGTAGATATTCTTCACAGTACTGTGTTAAATGTTCATCATAAAATTATTTATCAGTAAGAAGCCACAGATAGAATAATCTTAACAAAATTGACCTCTGTTGAAAATGGCATTTATTACAGATTAAAGACATGTTAACCTACAGGTGCATTATTACTGTCATTCTTAGGTATCTCCATCAAGGGGGATTTGTATGTTCTCCCCTGACTTCATTGCAGTGTACGTTCCTTTACTTGCAGTGTACATTCCTTCACTTGCAGTATACTTTCTTTCACTTGCAGTATACATTCCTTCACTTGCAGTGTACATTCCTTCACTTGCAGTATACTTTCTTTCACTTGCAGTATACATTCCTTCACTTGCAGTATACATTCCTTCACTTGCAGTATACATTCCATCAATTGCAGTATACATTCCATCAATTGCAGCATACATTCCTTCACTAATTTAGAATAGACAGGCACAACACCATGACTAAATACACAAATAACCCACACATAGGAGAATGAAACTTTTGATGACATTACAGTCTGGCTTAACTAGTTAATTGTCCAAGTTGCACTGAAAAATTGTAAGTTTCATTCTCCTAAGTTACATATCTCTCATATCTTTTAATAACTAAATTAATAAAAAATAGAATAGTACACAAATAATTCCTATGTGTGGGTTATTTGTGTATTACTCTATTTATTATTAATTTAGAGTGAATCAAAGTTGAGGGAAATTTGTAATTGTTAAATAATATGTACAGTGCACACTGTATGATTATTGCACCACAGTGTCAGTAAAAAGTTACATAGTGCCACTTTTGACTAGAAAGCTCTAGGCAAATACAGTGCATTCTGCAATTGCAAAATATATGTGTATCAAGTTTGAAATAGTTTAGTCTAAGTATCTTTTGAGAATACCAAAAATGAAACTTCTTCCCATAGGATTTGTAAATGTATTGTAAAATGTCAGTTTCACTAAGAAGGAGTTTGATGGTCATTCATGTAGATCTTCAGTATCAGTACCATTATTTTGTAAAAACATATGACCAGTCCAGTAGGAATGACTCAATACAGACAGTGGCTCAACCTGTTGCCTGTTGTTACTTGAATAATGTGAAATCAAATGACACTGAGTGCCCAGTGTTCTGCTAAGATTAGCACTATAAATCATTTACATTTTCAAGTTATTGCTTTTAGTATGCTCAATTTTTTCATTAATTTTTTATCATTGAAAATGCACCAACAGTAGTCATCAGAATTTTGAAATACAGTAGTTAAAACCTGCTTTATTCCTTTTGCCCTTTGAATCCCGACAAAATTTGAAACTCTAAGATATTGAAGTCTGAAGGAAATGCAGGTCTGAGAAATAGAAAATTGGAGAGAGAGAGAGATAGAGAGAGTGTGTGGATGTGTGTAGATGTGGATGTATGTGGATGTGTGTGGATGTGGATGTGTGTGGATGTTGATGTGTGTGGACGTTGATGTGTATGGATGTGGATGTGTGTGTGTGGTGTGTGTGTGTGTGTGTGTGTGTGTGTGTGTGTGTGTGTGTGTGTGTGGGTGGGTGGGTGGGTGTGTGGATTGTGTGTGTGTGTGTACTCACCTAGTTGAGGTTGCAAGGGTCGAGTCCTAGCTCCTGGCCCCGCCTCTTCACTGGTCGCTACTAGGTCACTCTCCCTGAACTGTGAGCTTTATCATACCTCTGCTTAAAGCTATGTATGGATCATGCCTTCACTACATCGCTTCCCAAACTATTCCACTTCCTGACTACTCTGTGGCTGAAGAAATACTTCCTAACATCCCTGTGATTCATCTGTGTCTTCCCACTTCCAACTGTGTCCCCTTGTTGCTGTGTCCCATCTCTGGAACATCCTGTCTTTGTCCACCTTGTCAAGTCCTCTCAGTATTTTGTATGTCATTATCATGTCCCCCCTATCTCTCCTGTCCTCCAGTGTTGTCAGGTTGATTTCCCTTAAGCTCTCCTTGTAGGACATACCCCTTAGCTCTGGGACTAGTCTTGTTGCAAACCTTTGTACTTTCTCTAGTTTCTTTACGTGCTTGGCTAGGTGTGGGTTGCAAACTGGTGCTGCATACTCCAATATGGGCCTAACGTACACGGTGTACAGGGTCCTGAACGATTCCTTATTAAGATGTCGGAATGCTGTTCTGAGGTTTGCTAGGCGCCCATATGCTGCAGCAGCTATTTGGTTGATGTGTGCTTCAGGAGATGTGCCTGGTGTTATACTCACCCCAAGATCTTTTTCCTTGAGTGAGGTTTGTAGTCTCTGGCCCCCAAGACTGTACTCTGTCTGCGGTCTTCTTTGCCCTTCCCCAATCTTCATGACTTTGCACTTGGTGGGGTTGAATTCCAGGAGCCAATTGCTGGACCAGGTCTGCAGCCTGTCCAGATCCCTTTGTAGTTCTGCCTGGTCTTCATTCCAATGAATTCTTCTCATCAACTTCATGTCATCTGCAAACAGGGACTCCTTCCTTCATGTCGTTCACAAATACCAGAAACAGCACTGGTCCTAGGACTGACCCCTGTGGGACCTCGCTGATCACAGTCGCCCACTCTGACACCTCGCCATGTACCATGACTCGCTGCTGTCTTCCTGACAAGTATTCACTGATCCATTGTAGTGCCTTCCCTGTTATCCCTGCTTGGTCCTCCAGTTTTTGCACTAATCTCTTGTGTGGAACTGTGTCAAACGCCTTCTTGCAGTCCAAGAAAATGCAATCCGCCCACCCCTCTCTCTCTTGTCTTACTGCTGTCACCGTGTGTGTGTGTGTGTGTGTGTGTGTGTGTGTGTGTGTGTGTGTGTGTGTGTGTGTGTGTGTGTGTGTGTGTGTGTGTGTGTGTGTGTGTGTGTGCACGTGTGTGTTAGTTACCATTTTGTCCTAGGCACATGTCGATTAGACACTAGGCCTGTTGTATATGAGTACGTGTGTGTGTGTGTGTGTCTGTGTTAGTTACCATATTGTCGTAGGTGTGTTAGTTAGTTACCATTTTGTCCTAGGCACATGTCAGTTAGACACTAGGCCTGTTGTATATGTGTGTATGGGTGTGGGTGTATATGGGTGGGTGTGGGTGTGTATGGGTGTGGGTGTGTGTGTGTGTGTGTGTGTGTGTGTGTGGTGTGTGTGTGTGTGTGTGTGTGTGTGTGTGTGGATGTGGATGTGGATGTGGATGTGGATGTGGATGTGGATGGTGGATGTGTGTGTGTGTGTGTGTGTGTGTGTGTGTGTGTGTGTGTGTGTGTGTGTGTGTGTGTGTGTGGATGTGTGTGTGTGTGTGTGTGTGTGTG